TATGACTTGATTCAGATCTGGAGGATAATGCTCGCAATGAGAGTTGGAAGGGAGAGTCCAGTACAAGAAACATCCCAAAGGAGAAGCTTTAGAACTTTATGACTGACAAGATCAAGACAGTGAGTCATACGTAACCATAAAATTTCTGAACCTGAATAACTAGCCTGAGATACAAATGTTAAGAGGGGCAGCTGGTTTAAGGGAGAAGGTGATTTGGAGTATTTTGTAGTGACCAGGGGACAGATAATTGTATATGTGGGACCTAAGTTCAGGTGAGAGAACAGGGCCTGGGAAGAGATTTGGGAACTTAGTTGAACAGATACTTACTGAGTACCTACTTTCTATGGGGCACTGGATTACACACTGCAGGTAATGATAAATAAAACATGACCTTACTATCCAGGAATGTGTGTAATAGTGGCACATATGAGGAGGTATTTATTATACACTGTTGTTTAAAAATAGGGTTTAGATGTGGAGTATAGGATAATTGGTTAAAAACCTATATGAGAGATCATTTAGAAAAAGGAAAAAGACTGTGCCGTAAATCTAGGATAAGATAGTAGCTGAACACTTTCAGCTATAAGCTAAATTCCTGGATACCCTGGGCAAAAAACAAAAAAAACCCCAGCAACGAATATATAGCTTATATTACTAGGTTAAAGAACAAAAACTCATCTAGAGAGACTTCTTGATACACCATTCCAGGTTTACTTTAGCACTTGAATCCTCATAAAAGGTAGAATGAATACTATAATAAACAATCTCTTTAACTCTTTAATTACAGTTTCTGGGAAGATATGAGAACCTTTTAAATAAATTATTCCTTCATAAAAGCAAGGACATGGCATTAAATGGTCACTAGTGAGGGCATTTCTGTAGGCTGCTTCTTTACTGTGGTTCAGGTAAGTAACTTCCTGGAGATCAAATTTTAAATAGTAATAAAGCATAGAGAAACGGAATGAATGTACGGCTACTTGTCCCTTGGCTTGTGCTGCTCATGTATGTTATTTCAACTTCATTTTTGGCAGAGCCAGAGTGACAACCGCTAAAGGCCCATGCTCTATAGTCACTGTTCCAGGATAGCTCCATTGTTTTTGTACTAGAGGTTCCCAGGCTTAGCGTGCGTAGGAACTGTAAAGGAAACTCATTAAAAGTACACATTCCAGGGCCCCATCCTGAGAGATTCCAATTCAGTTAATCTGGAATAGGGCCCCAAAATCTGCATTTTAACCAGCATTCCAAGTGACCTCGAGGCAGTTGGTCCTCAGGTCACCCTTAGAGAAACACTTTTGGAGTCAGATGAGTTGATGGCAAAGTTATGAAAACTGAGGACTGTTACTTGTATTTTTACCTCTAAATAGAGTGGAGCAAAAGGTTCCCTATGGATACACCCATTTCTCAGAAAGAACTTTTCATTTGTTTTAGTGTTTAGACCCAAAAAAGCATGAAAAAAGTTTTTTTGTCTTAAAATGTATGATTAGTGTCTTACCTTGGGCTGCCATAACAAAACGCCATAGACTGGGTGACTTAAAAAACAGAAATTTGGCAACATAAAGAGGTATAACCCTAAAGACATATATCTAATAAACAAACACATTGATTAAATAGAATCATAAGTTAAAAAACAAAGTGAAACCCAGAAATTTATTTTCTCACAGTTTTGGAGGCTAGAAGTCTGAGATCAGGGTTAGGTTCTGGCTTGCAGATGGTCGCCTTCTTGATGTGTCCACATGGGAGGTGGAATAGTTGGGGGGGGCGGGGGATGCTCTCTGATGTCTCTTCTTATAAGGGCACTAATCCCATCATGAGGATTCCACCTTCATGACTTTATTTAAACCTCATGAACTTCCAAAGGCCCCATCTCCAAATACTATCACATTAAGGGTTAGGGCCTCAATGTATGAATTTGAAGGGGCACATAATTCAGTCCATAGCAGTCAGCTATTACTAGCCTTCCATATTAGCTATGAAAGGGCTTAAACACGGCCCTTGTAGAGTATCTGATTTTAGAGCAGTGGTACTCCAGTGCTTTTACCAGAAAGGAGTCCCTGCAGAGTATACTCTCACAGTGCTGAATGAGTTGAACCACTGGATGGAGATCTGAAGGTAGGAAAATTACTGGCAAAATAATTTTAGTGTTAGCATTACTAGAGTTAAGCATCCTCTCCCATTCACCCTCATTCCTTCCTTATTTCTCATGCTAGGTGAGATGTATTGTCAAGATCAACTGAGATTGGGGCCATGTTTATGCATTGTGGATGACGTGAATGTTGATTCAGATCATTCCATCGGTCCAGATTAATGAAATTTATTTTAGTACTGTAAGGAAAGTTAAAAAAAAAAAAGATACTTCCTTTTGTGGATTCTCTATGAAAATAAGTAGCATTAACCAAGCTCTTTTATTTTGAAATAGCAGTGTAATGTGTTCTAATTGAGATATCTGACTTCACACTTATCTCAGTTAGAATCTTTTAAAGACAAAATAAAAATGACTTGTGTGACCTGTGTTGTGTAGTACTAAAATCACACATTTTAGTTCAAATATACAATATAAAATATAGCTTCTGAAAGAAGAAATAAGAAATAGCTTAAAAATACTAAGAAATACAAAGAAAAAATTCATTAAAGAATTATTTCCTAGTATTCTCAAACCAGTCTCTTTTGGGGGGAATTGTGGGGTTTTTATAAGTGGTTTTCTATGTAGGTATTAATCATTTAATTAAAAAGCCCTTCTGATAAGTTGTGACACTTTAATAAGAGTTTATTTTCCAAAAGATAACCCTTCTGAATATAGATTGGAATTCTGTTGATATATATATACTGTGCATATATATTCTCTCTTATCAATATATAATCTTTACTTATCACAATAGTATTTACAAAATTTGTTTAAAATCCTTGTCATAGAGTTTGGTCGTGAAATAAAATTATTTTCTATGCAGTTCAGTCAATGTTATTTCCCAGTTCTTGTCTACCTAATATCCATTCTTATACCGACACATACACATACCATGCACACACCCCCACCTGGTCTTGCACCTCCTTGTCTCCCACACATGCCACACACTATACAGCCCACACTACCCCACACACCACACATCCATACCCTACTAATAACAGCCAAACATATGTCATTTATTAGAAAGATTAGTCAGAGAGATTATAATGTATTGGTTGCCAATAAGTACCTGTATTTTAAACTTTTTGTTGATTAAAGGATTAAAAAATAAAAATTTTAAACATTAATTTTATTTTTAATAAAAATACTCAAACTGTGTACTGGACAGCTGACAAAAAAAAATTCAAACTGTGGTTAAAACGATTTAAAATGTTCAAGAGGGTGTAAGTGAAAAGTAAAAGTCTCCCTTCCCCTATGGCTCCTCAGTTCCTCTCCCCCAAGCCCCGTGTATAACTACAATGAAAAGCTTCTGGTGTTGCTTTCTAGAAATTGCTACAAATATGTGTGTGTGTGTAAGATAAATATATTTATCTAATTTTTTAAAAAGTTGATCTGATACTAGTTGAGCAATTAGAATGGGGTGCCAGTCATAGCACTCTCTGCCCTTGGACAAATTAAGCTCTCTGGGGACCTCTTTGATTTCCTCACTCTGTAGACCCAGGTCCAGATTTGTCCAGCCAGATTTGCCTTAGTTTCTATCTGGGAAACCTTCTGCCAATGGTTTCTGTGTTCCTCTCTTGGTTTAGGGCTCTTAGAGCTGAGAACTGAGTGGGGACTGGTAACCACCTCCAATCCCTCCTCCCAAAAAAGCTCCCTAATTTAGCTGTCCACCTCCAGGCCCCCAAGGAAGCCAGTGTCCTCTCTAGTTAATTTTCAACCCCTGACTTTATGAATACGATTTGCTCAATGGTAAGAGGTATTTCTAGAATATGTATTATGGAAATAAAGCATTTTCTTTTCCAGCCATTCACATTTAACTTTGACTTATTTGTTCAAAAGTCAGTAATGTGGAAAACTTTATCTGGTACCTTTTGGAGCAACTCATACAAAGAAAAAAAATCACAGATTTTTAAAAGGAAAACTTGAGCGTTTCAATTAGCAAGAATGTTGAAACTGAGTAAAGATGCAGATTTATGTACAATATTTGTACAATATTTTAATAGTCACTAAAATATTGTACACATTTAAATATCGTACAGATAATCACAATGTTAAGATTATATAGTCTTTGGAAACGTAAGAATTGGAGGTAAAGAAGGGTGGACTTCGAAAGTCTGGAGCCAGCTTGCTCCCTGCAGGCTTAAGATGAACCATCTCACGCAGAAAAAAAAAAAAAAAGATTGTATTGTTTATTTAGCATCATTTTTTCAGAGACTCTATTTCTAATGCTTTTTATTCATGAGCTCATGAGGAAAATCTGGAGAACTTTATAAATTCCATTTTACATCTGGGGCAAGGAAGTACAAGGAAATGAAATTATTTACCCAACAGCACAGAAATTAAGATGTGAACTCAAATAACTGCACACATTAATTAATGATATAACTTTTATAATGCAGCTTAATCTCTACTAAGGTGGTTGGTGTTAGGATTTCAGTGCACATTGATCTGGATATTAGTGCCCAGTTTCTTTATTCACAAAGTAATATAGTGATTTTTAAATCATAAATCAAACCATATCCTTTTAGTTCAAAGAAGCAAATATATAATATTGGTAATTAAACAATCCTTATTGCAAAGGCACAGTTATTTTCAGTAAAATAAATCTAGGTTGATACTTGAATTTTATAATTGCTAAATCTTGTTTGTGTCATGGAAAAGATGAATCCTGTAAATTTGAAGTGGGAGTAGTGGGATACCCTTAAGAGAAAAAGATAATAAAACTAAGATCCTGCAAGGTGGTAGCTGGCCTAAATACTGGGGTTTTTTTGTTTGTTTTTGGTTTTGGTTTTTTGGTCAATTATTCTATTCGTTAAAAATTTAGTTAAAAGTATGCAGTGACTTGAGAGGACTGTTCTGGCCTAATTCTTGAAAAATGTAACTTTCTTTAGTCTTCAAGCCCAGTGGGTTGGTGCCAAGTACCTGCTAGCCTTTATTTCCGACACCTTCAAGAGCAGGAGTAAGGTTATTGCCAGAAGGAACTATGAGTTCCATCTTTACCAGGGTCACAAAGGAGGCATGGGTGTGTGGAAACGTTTTATTTTTATTCCATCCGCATGCCATTTCTAGATAACAGGAGTTCTTGTTCTGAAGGGCTACCGGTTCCTCTCGGGGGTCAAGTACAGGTGTAAGTTTCGGGCGGGTCCTTGGTAACTGAGAGGTCGCCCGCTGGCCACAGGTCTGCGGCAGGTCCTGTGTATTCCAGAAGGGGCCCGGGTATGTGGGAGGGAGCATTATCCCTAATCTTCTGCAGTTGTTTTATCATTGCTGCCGATTAGGTCCATAGAGGGAAGCCCATCCCTGAGGCGCATGACGGTGATGCGGGAGAAGGGCCGGCGCCAGGCAGTCCGGGGCCCTGCCTTCATGTTCAACGACCGGGGCACCAGCCTCACGGCCGAGGAGGAGCGCTTCCTGGACGCCGCCGAGTACGGCAACATCCCCGTGGTGCGCAAGATGCTGGAGGAGTCCAAGACGCTCAACGTCAACTGCGTGGACTACATGGGCCAGAACGCGCTGCAGCTGGCCGTGGGCAACGAGCACCTGGAGGTGACCGAGCTGCTGCTCAAGAAGGAGAACCTGGCCCGCATCGGCGACGCCCTGCTGCTCGCCATCAGCAAGGGCTACGTGCGCATCGTGGAGGCCATCCTCAACCACCCCGGTTTCGCGGCCAGCAAGCGCCTGACCCTTAGCCCTTGCGAGCAGGAGCTGCAGGACGACGACTTCTACGCCTACGACGAGGACGGCACGCGCTTCTCGCCCGACATCACCCCCATCATTCTGGCGGCGCACTGCCAGAAGTACGAAGTGGTGCACATGCTGCTGATGAAGGGCGCCAGGATCGAGCGGCCGCACGACTACTTCTGCAAGTGCGGGGACTGCACCGAGAAGCAGAGGCACGACTCCTTCAGCCACTCGCGCTCGAGGATCAACGCCTACAAGGGGCTGGCCAGCCCGGCCTACCTGTCCTTGTCCAGCGAGGACCCGGTGCTCACCGCCCTGGAGCTCAGCAACGAGCTGGCCAAGCTGGCCAACATCGAGAAAGAGTTCAAGGTAAGCCCTGCGCTCCACGGCTGCTCGCTGCGCTCACCCAACTTCCCCGCTGCTGCCTGGCCCTTCCCGTAGTTTGCTCCCGAATCAGATTCTTCCGTGATTTGCTTCAGAGTCAGTTTTGCCCAGTGGATTTAAAATCAGAGGGATTGGGAGCGTCGTTCAGAGCTGATCTGTTGATATATATATATATCACCCCTTGAAGGGGTGCACCCGCAGTACCACATTCATGCGTGGAGTGGAGGAACCTGGAAACTCCAATTCCTTCTTTCTGCAGTGGTATTAGTTTTGAGTGCACTGTTCATTGGCCCAAGCATTTGTATATCCATTTAGAATCAAAAGTCAAAAGAACAGTATAAAACACTATTAAAGTCATTTCATTAATATGACAAAAATGCCTTTCTTTAATATGTATATTCAGAATGGTGAGCCATAGATGTCAGGTCAATCCGGAAATACACGGACTGAAAAATGGTTTGCTTTAATGGATTTTTAAAAAACAAGTGAATATTTTTTCTGAACATCGTCTCCAGTCAAGCAGTATTATTTTTATAGAAATTATATATTAATAATAGACTTTTCTTTTAACTCAATTGCTACATCATCCTTTGCATTCTGAATGGTTCTAACTATTAAAACTGGGACAAAAGGGTTTTTCCTAGTTCTGGTAAAAATCAGTTAGACTCTTCAGCAGGTTCTTGTCTCCCATTTTCCACCTATGCAGATGATTGTAGACACCAGTTCCTTGAATTATTTTCTGAATGCTGAGTTAATCTAAAAAGTTTAGTGTTGTGGTATCAGATCACAGAAAGAGTGCTTATTCTTTCTCTCACATCTTAATATGGCTTTTCATATTTATGAGATTTACACAAATGCAACTAGCAATATAATTCAGGCTAAGGAAAATCTACTTTTATCCTGGAGTTGCAAGAAAACGGTGGGAAAGTGGTTTCCCCATCACACCAAATTCCCTAGGTGTTCATCAATCCTCATTTTGTCTTGGTAAAGATCTGGCTTTAGTACAATTTTATTTGTTAATCCATTAAAATTTTTTTTCTGATATAAAAGCTACACATATCTATTGTAGAAAATATTTGTGAAATTTGGGAAGAGACAAAGAAGAAAACAAGTATAACCTTATCTCTACTCTCTTTGAAGAGATTCATTACGTCGGATGATTTATTTCCTTGGACCCAAAATGAAATTATTTTTTTAGACAGAACTCAGGTAGAGCAAGTTGAAAACTTCAAATTCTGTTTAGAGAAAGTAGAAAAGCAATCAGGCAAAATATTTGTAAATATCACTTCTTTATTTTGAGGCAGTAATGAAAACATAATTCTAAATTTATTTGCCACTATTTCAACAAAGCTTGTTTTTACTTCACGCAAACCTTGTTTTTATGGATTTTGCTTCATATATAATGAAAGTCTGCAAAAGAGATTCTATAAAACGGAGCATCTTCAAAGATTATGTTTCAATAATTTGCAAAAGATGGTGATGTTTGCAATTCTACCCAGAGAAGTCGTCTCAGTGAAGCAATGGTAACAAAATTTGTTATTCATAATTTTCTCCTGAAGCTGGCTAAATCCGTATTGATAATAATTAGAATCTTCTTTACTCCAACTTAAAGAGTCACTTCCAATAATCTTTTAAAGGTGGGAACATATCACAAGTAAAGAGGCAGAAAGAGGTGAAAATACAACTAGATTCAAGAGGACATCCATGAAGCTGTCAAATATCTAAAGATATGCAAAATCATCTAAATGTCATAATTTCCTCTTCTGGGATTATATGGCAGGCACTTGGTAGCATAACCCTCTGTGAGCCAAAATCAGGACAGCTCTTCAGAAGTTATAGTCTCTAAGGAGTGCGAGTCTTTCTCCCCTAATTGAATGTGCCTTTCCTTCCTATTCTTACCTGTCCTTGTTTTTTAATTATCTGCCTACCTCTTTGCCCTGTCATCCCTTGCTCATGTCCATCTGCCAGGGCTTTAGACAGACAGAGAAAATAGTGCTTTCATGGCAGTGACCCAGAGACTCTGAGTCTGAAAGGGCAGTGGAAGTAAAGCTCATTTCTGAGGCAGGTAGGTAACCTAATTTGCCCTGTTCCATGGTGTTCACTATATTGTTTCCATAGGGACTTTGAGCTCAAAGCACTAGCCTTGAAATGAAAAAATAATGTGTTCCCTAGTGAAAAAAGTTTTTTTTCCTTTTCAGATATCTATGCCTATTTTATCTTATCAATGACCTGTAATATCTAGTTGTCTCACCCTTCAAATTGCCATCGTTAGGTGCTTCAGAGAAGATTATCAGCCATGCAGTTTTCAAAGTTCTTTGATGAATATAGTAGGCCTGGTGCTGGAAACATGTGAAGGTCATTACCCTTAAGAAGTTGAACATTCTAGGACATGGATTTAGATAAATTAATGGAAGACAGGTCGGTGACAGGTTATTAAAGAAATATTTTGGATGTGCGAATGCTGTCTGAAACTATTCTGAGAAACAGAATATTGGAGAGGATGGACTCTAGGTCTGTTCCTCCAAATGTCAGTGGCAAGGAAGCCAGTCATTTATTAAGCAGCGAAGCCAGTCATTTACTAAGCAGCGAAGCCAGTCATTTACTATGCTGTGAGAATGAAGATTGAAATTTCCTAATTTTGACTGAGTCAGGGATGTATTTTTTTTAAAAAAAGCCTTTTGCCTTCCTTGCTTTTCTCTATTAAAGTAGAAAAGCAGTTTTAACTTATATCACAGTAGAGCTGTAAGGAAAAAGAAAATGAATATAATTCAAAAGAAGAAAACATTTTATAGCAGGAAGATACTCTAGAAATCATCTGGTTGTACATACCTCTCATTTTACAAATGAGAAAACAAGAGCTATAGCCAAGATCCCATCTGCTAAGCCTAGATTTGAGTGTCTTGGATCCCAGTCCTAGGTATTATATCTAATATAATGTACTTGGTAATATTGAAGCACTTCTGTAGTGCTTAATGTATACCAGGCATTCTCTAAGCATTTAATCCTCACAGTACCAATATTAGGTAAGATTATTCTCATCAGAGAGGTTAAGTAAATTCCACAAGATCACACAGCTAGTAAGTGCTAGAAGCAGTATTTTTTTTTTCCTTTTTGTCTTTTTTTACTGACCGGTAATGGGATCGCAACCCTTGGTGTTGCGCCCGCACCGCGCTCAGCCAGTGAGCGGGAACCGGTCTCCACATGGGATCCGAACCCTCGGCGGGAGCGCCACCGCGCTCCCAAGCGGCACACTCTCCAGTGTGCCACCGGGCCGGCCCTAGAAGCAGTATTTGAGCCCAGGAAGTCTGGTTTCAGATTCTATGCTTTTAACCACTACACCATCTTACCTCTTTTGTTATTAGGGTAAGACCTGACAGAACCAAGCCTGCTTGGAGTTGAATTTCAATTTTCCTTTTAAGGATAAAAAGGGATTGGAATAGAGATTAAACCACGCACATTAAAAGGAATGTACAGAAACCTGTAGACAGGTTGTGAAGACTGAACTTCATTGTTCTTCCTCTGGCTTGAGCAGGTTTTGAGTTCCTGCTGAGTAACATGTGTAGTAGGTCCACCTGCTAACTTTGTGGAGGGCCATGGTAATGGATGAATGGTACAATGAAGACCATCAATCAAAACTAAATTGAAAGAAAATTATTAGAAAATGGTCTGAGCTGTGAGGTAACATGAGGCAGGACTTCATGGTGGAACTAATAGTCAATACAGGCTTTAGATAGTTGCTTTTGCAGCTAAGGAGAGGCTGTCTTTAGCTGGAGCATGCCATCTTTCCCTGGCAGCTCTGCATATGTTTAAAAACTGGTAGCCAATTACTGTAACAAAAGAACTTGCTATTATCTCTGGCTTTGATTACTTTCTTCACTTGGGCAACAGACTGCATCCAGCAGGAAATGTTTAAATTGTTATGACAACAAGGTATTATCCTTGCAACTTGTATGATTATGAATTTTTTGTTTCTTGACTGATCTTCCAGTGGATGTGAAAAAAAATACACACCTTTCTTAAAAACTGGATTATTTACAGATTTTAATTTTTAAAGGTAATGAGTCATTATTCACGTATTGTTGCAGAAGTGGGTGCTGAGTTTTTTTCAAAGCATGGAAAGTAGCCTCTTTTATTTCTGATGAGTGGAGAAATGGCCATCCTATGTTGTACCAAATCTTACAGAACAGTCTGAACTGAAGAATAACATGAGGAAATTTCATCTAAAAATTGTATTAAAAGGGGAGCTTTATATGGAAACAGGCATGGATTTAATACTTCTTCTGGATGCTATAATAAAATATTTCATTAGTCTTTCAGGAATGAAGGCAGATAGATATTTAACTGACACTCTGCATAGAAACCAGAGACTGAACATTTTATTAATTTTATCAGTTGTAGGGTACCAACTTGAATGGAAACCAAAGATTGAAGTTTTATTCATTTTATCTGTTCCCTTATGAGGGGAAAAGGATTAACTGTAACTCTTCTTTATCTGAATTTCTGATATCTGAAATGGAAACTATTCCAATCTGTGTAGCATTTAATCAGTCTCCCCTCTTCTTGTTTATTTTACTTGGTGATGTGGTTTTGCTCATCAAATCAAACTAATTATTTAAGTGAGAAAAATTGGAGTTCTTCGTGTATTTTTTTAAAGTATGATTTTTGGAAGCCCAGAAATTCTGCTGTGCTAGGTGTTACTTGGTTATGCCAAGAAATACTTAGTTACACAGACATATACAGTGTCTCAGAACATATTGAAATGAAGAATTCTATTTCCTCAAGTGTACTAAATTAAATGATTATCTGATTAACTTTCATAATGGGCTAGAGTTTTAGTGAAAGACATAGAAGTTGAACTGGGGTTTCTGAAAGTGAGACACTTTCCCAAGGGACAGTCATTGACACCTGGACTGGAACCAATGGGCTAGAAATAGAGCTTCATTCAGAAGGTAATAGGGAATGCTACCAACTGATTTTCTTATACCAGTCCATGGCAATATATAAATATGCAAGTGAAATGAGAGATTCACAGATTATTTTTAGCAAGGTGTTAGTTCCAGTAGCCTGGAAATTTTTCTCTCAGGTATTGATGTTCTGTCACCCTTGAGAATTCAATTACATATAATCAGACATTTCTCTCCTTCCAGTTCTGCAGGGCATGATAACACGTCCTTCAGACAAACAAGGAAAAAACCCTCTCTGTAAGGGTTGATACCTATTCACCTCTTTACATTCACTATAAACCAGTCTTTCTCAAACCTTACCATGTATCAGAATCACCAGAAGTGTATATTATAACACAGATCGCTGGGCCCTTCCTCAGTTTCTAAATCAGGATGTCTGGGGCAGGGTCAGAGAATTTGTATTTCTAACACATTTCCAGCAGGTGTTGATGCTGCTGGTCTGAGGACTACACTTGGAGAAATAATGTCTGCTACAAGGCAAGGTATAGTAAACTGGACAAATTATTTTCACATATAGTTAATCTTCTATGTCAAATTGCCATTTTAGAAAAATTTCCACTATAGAAGTGGTCCTTGTTTTGGCTTTAAAAGAACTGTTGTTTGTTTGAAAGAGATAACTCTTTTTGATCCTTTGGTCTTTCAGTATCATCATTTAGCCAGCATCACTTAATACAAACCACTGACTTATGTGCATACTATTTTTTGGAGTAAATTTTTAAAAATTTTAATTGACAAATAACAATTGTTTATACTTACGGGTACCGTGTAATGTCTTGATATATGTATACAATGTGGAATGATTAAATCAAGCAAATTAACATATACATCACCTCACTAACTTATTTTTTGTGGTGAGACATTTGAAATTTACTCTCTTAGCAAATTAGAAATATACAATACATTGTTATAACTGTAGTCACCTTGCTATTCCTCCTGTCTAACTGAAAATTTGAACCCTTTGACTAATACCTTGCATTCCCTACCCCCACTCCTCAGCCTCTGGTAACCACCATTCCATTCTCTACTTCTATGAGTTTGACTTTCTTTAGATTCCACATATAAGTGAGATCATGTGCATACCATTTTCAAAGCTGTGTCATATGGTTGGGCAGGTTGCAGAAGGGAACCTAGTTAAGGGGATGGGTGGGGGCAAATCCAGCCTGTCTCTAACTCAACAAGTCTTGCATCCAGGGAGGGAGTACAGCTTTCTACCCAGAGGAAGGGATACTTTTTTCTAATTCACACATATCCTAAACACATTCCATTAAATTAGAACAAATTCTTTGTATTAAACACAAATTCTCTTGTTTTTAGAATGACTATCGGAAGCTCTCTATGCAATGCAAAGACTTTGTGGTGGGTGTGCTGGATCTCTGTCGAGACTCAGAAGAGGTAGAAGCCATTCTGAATGGAGACCTGGAATCAGCGGAGCCTCTGGAGGTGCACAGGCATAAAGCTTCATTGAGTCGTGTAAAACTCGCCATTAAGTACGAAGTCAAAAAGGTGAGTGGGCTCAGTCTCATCCAGCAGCACCATATTAGAGTAAACATTTAGTATCAGCTATGTCATCATCCCAGGAAATTTTTTTAAATAAGAAGAATAGGTGCTATTGATAGAAGAATTATCTTTCTTCATGAAAGAGATTAAGAGTCATGCTAAGCTGCAAGTTAATGTCTAGCTTCTGATCCTCTCCACTTTTTTTTTTTACCCATTGTGGGACCTTGGATAAGTCGTAAATCTTCTTTAAATTTCAGTTTCCTCATATAAAAGGAGGATAATATCCTTTATTTATCTCAGGGTTTTGGTGGGATTTAAATGGATTAAAACATGCAAAAGCACTCTGTAAACTGTTTTTTACAATAGAATTAATAATATCTGTTACTTGAATACATTTTTGTAAGGCACTGTTATAAGTATTTTCATGTTAATTCTTGCAGCAAGCCTATGTTATTATTCATTTTACTTATAAAATAGGTAAGATAGATGATGAAGTTTATATTCTACAAGGAAACTGAGGTTTACCTAGCTTAAATGGCATGTCAAAGGTCACAGCTAAAGAGCTGGTCATGCATGTGGCAGAAATAAAAATTATGATTTTTTTTTTTGCTCTGATTACTGCAGAAAAACTGTTATGTTATTTGTTAACTTGTATGGGGTTTTTAAGTAATTCATGAAAATTGTAGTTATGATGTTTTACTATGATAAAAAGCTGAGTTATCCAAAGCCCAACAGTTTATATATGTTAGATATGTAAAAACTGAGATTTTTTTCTACTTTAAGAGAAGCTGATCAATCACAAAGGAGTAAGCTATCAGGAATAGATCTGGTTTTATGAACTGGTCAATCTATGTGCAACTGAGTCTTCTGTCCTTCCTGCAGTGTGGCATGGTGCTTAGGAGGACAGGCACTCAGGTCAATCTGCAAGCGTTTAAATCCTGACCTTACCACCTGTTACCTGTTTGACCGTGGGCAAGTCACCTAACTATCTAAGCCTCAGTCTGCTTGTTTGTAAAGTGGGGACAATAATAGTGTCTGCTCATTCAGTTGCTTGAGGATTACATGAGATAATGTAGATAAAGTAATTAGCACAGAATAGTACATGATGATTGCTCAATAAGTATTAGCTAATAACATTTCTGCATTATGAAAATTCATACTCAGAATGAGTTCAGTCCTCAGTCATCAAAGACAGATTTCATGTTCATAGTCCTTAGTAGCAGACCACAGCCAATCTAAGCAGGAAGGAATTTAGTAAAAGGTGTTAGGAAGCTCATGGAATCTTAAGGAGTGGTGAAGGAACAAGCTTATCTAAGCTGTGCTTCCAGAAACTGCACCCAGAGCCAGGCCCAGAACTGACCTGCTAAGGGAGTTTCTGTGGCCTAAACAGAACAGTTCTGCCTCTACTGCAGATAGATGGCTCCTGCACCGCAGAAAGGATGCCCTGAGTCCTGACTGTTGTCATATGCCCCTTCCAAATCAGAGACCTGCCATATGCCTCTGACTGGTGGAACCTAAGCCAATGATTGCACCCTAGCTGCTAGTGAAGATGGAGACACACACACACACACTCACCCCTCTGCCACAACGTAGAGTACTTCCACATGTAGCGCTCACAAGCTTTTGGTCAGCCATTAATGAAGATCTCCCCTCTACTTAATAAGACAGTCAAATGTTAAGATTCTCAGTAAAGATTGATATAAAATAACTTTTCACGGAAATTATTAGTTACAAGAGAATTAAGTTGGCTAGAATGCCCTCCTTTCAGAGCATTTTTCTGGTTGAGGTTTTGCTATGTCGGGGGAGAAAGATAATTTTATTTTTCATGTTCTTTTTTTTGTGGGGGGAGGAGTAGGGGCTGGCCAGTACGGGGATCCAAACTCTTGACCGTGGTGTTGAAAAAGATCATTTTGAACAAGATTGATAGTAAACCATTTTTAGAAAACTGGACATATTCACACATCTTGCAGTATGTATTTCTTCTTTTTGGCACCTGAGAAGAGGGAATTGATTTCAGTTGTCACTGGTTTTTTATCATTGCTTTGAAAGTGTCATATTAGCAGAGACAGTTCATCTGCAGATGTGCTTCTGTTAACCAAACTGTCTTGTCGAGTGAATGTCTTCCTGCATATTAATTTTAAGTAAATTGCTGTGTAAGTTACAATGTATGAGGTGTCATTAAAATAAATCTGCTGTCAGTCAACCACCAGGACCAAAAAAAAAAAAAAGTATTTAGAACTGAAAGGAGATTCAGTGCTTTGCAAGCATTTCTGGTTTTGTTTGTATTATGCTATAAAGGGGAATATAAAGTCTTTGATTTGGAATCTTTACTGAATAAATGTCCATAATTTTCTGGAATACCATTTTCACTCAACATTCAACCATTTCCCCTCTAGCAAGGAGGAAAAATATCACCCCCACTCACTTCTGCTGCTTCCTCTTTCTACTATCTCATTTCTAGTCCCCAAGCAAAACCACCTCTTGGCTTATAAAGATGTGTGAGTTCTATCTATTGTGGCATAGAGGTAATTTGCAGCTATATGCAAGCCATTGGGATTTTAAAATAACTTTATATGCTAAGGACTTTTCACCCCAATAGCATAATAAACTCATATTTATTCCAATCAACTCATAATTCCACCAATAAAACCAGTTTTATGTAATGGTAAGCCATTTAAGCCCATGTGAGACTCAGGAAGTCTTTCTTCTGCCACCTGTCCAAGATCTACTCCCATTTCTGGTTCTGAGTCTGTTGGCTTCTACATGGGCATGGAGTTCCCAGAGCTCAGGTCTTCCTTAGGAATCAAAGCAAGAGTTTAAGCCAGGCCTTACAGAGCTCAATGACATTTAATCCAGAAAATAAAAATCCAAAAGACCAAAGTAGGATATAGATGACCATGAATTTAATGTTTTGTGGGAAAGGGCTTTCCAATATAAAAGCAGTAGAAGAAATCTCAAAGCACACATATAAATAAATTGGCCACTTACAACTTGAAACCTCTGTATATCAGAAAGATAAAAAAAAAAAAAAATCAAACAAAAAAATAATGAAGTGTAAACTTGGAAAAATGTTTTTCTCAATTACAACTTACAAGGGATTGATATTGTTAATATCCAAAGAGCTCAAAAAAACTTATAAGGAAAACATCCAGAGCCCTATGGAAAAATTAGCAAAGATCTTGAATAGGTAATTCACAGAAGAGAAAATTCAAACAGCTAAAAAACATATTTAAAATTTTCAAATCCTTGAGCAGTAAATGTATATCAATATACAAATACCATTTGCCCTCTCTCAAATTATCAAAGAATAAAAAATTATAATTCTCAATGCTGCTGGTGAAATGGGCAATTGTATGCTTGCATATTTTCTATCAAGGAGTGGATTTTGAAGACTATTCATCCTAGTATCATTTCTGAGGGATTTCTAAGTAATTAATAAAGCTGGAAGACTGGCAAACACTTTTACTATTTGTAGATATAGCCACATTACTCTTCAAAAAGAGAATTAAAATAGAGTGGAAGATGAAATTTGATCTTCTAAAAATGGATACAAGAAGATTAGCTTTTAGGCAAAAACACTAATTTTGATCAATTAGTTTGCCCCCCAAAATATCTTGAGTTCTAATTCTGATTGTACCTCTGTCCTGCTTTGTGATGTGAAGCCAAACATCAACCTCCTAACCCCCATAGAAATAATGAGAGTTCTGCCTACTTCATAGTGATGTATGCTTATTGTGAGAAAGTTCTTGACAAAAGATATTAGAACTCGGTAGACCGTTTAATCTGGAAAACTGGGCTCTCAAGAAAAAGAAGGAGGACATTTCCTGAGTTCTTCCTCCCAGATCTCCTATTTCCTTCACAGGAAAATAGTTTAATTAGATATTAGGTTTAACTGTAGAACAATCATCTGGGAAAAAAGACATGCAGTACTATAAATGCATAAAATTATCCATTGTGTATCCAATTTTCTGTGCAGAAAGTATGCAGGGAATGCCCAGAACTTAAGAAATGCAATAAAAGAGTGGTAAATATACTACAGAGACTTTGGGATGCATGTTCTGGCCTATGTAGTCCTGAGTCCTGCACTATGTAGCCTCTCATCCTGGTTTGTGCTCAGGCACCAAGAGAACAGAGCATTTTGTACTCAGTAAAGTAAAAAATACAGAAAACTTGTACAAGGTTTTTGGCTTATTATTTCACAATTCAATGAACCTTAAAAAGAAGTTGAATTGTCTAGTTTTTATTCACAAGAATATTTTCTTTTAGATTGTATGAACTATGGCTCTAACAATATCGTTAAAAACAAAGAGTGTTCCATGTTTTTACACAACAGTATTCTCATGAAGACAGTTCTTGTGAAGGCTGATTTGATGAAAAAACAGTGCAACATGCATTTTTTTTAAGTTTAGAATTATTTACTTGTTTTCCATAGCCTGCTCTGATTGGTGGTTTGGTTTACAATCTATTAGTTATTTGTCAGAGAAAAAAAAAGTTTGTTCTGAATGCTATGGTAGTTTTGTTCCATTGAAAGATTCAGATTTTCTTGTGTCAAGCATTCTCCCTTTAAATCAGAAAACCTCAAGTAAGGGTACTATTTTTGTAATGACTTCAATTTGCTGGTCTACTGAAGTTGGGAAACAGCATAGTTTTATCCAGCTGGCTAGGAAGACTGGTGTGGCAGAATAAGGAGATAATTCAGGAGGTAAAACAGTGATAAAGGTCACTGCCCTATTCTGAAGTCACTGAAAAGAGCAAAACTCATCTCCTAGAGGGATTAGCTTTTTTGCCTTCACTTGCTGTTACTGTATTGGTTTGATTTTCTTTTTTTAAATGTTCCTTGTGTACTTGTATTAGGATTTTCAATTATTAGATGGAAATCTGTTTGTGTGGCTTAAAAGGAGTCAACAGATGCCATGTGGTAGTAGTATAGAACATACACCTGTTAAGCTGAATTTTAAAGTGTGGACAGGTAAAATGTAAACACCACAATTTTGTCTAGTATTTAACATATAGTAAGTGTTTTCTCTGTACTGTACAAGTCAAAGATTGATCATCACATGTACTCTTTATGGAAAGGATTGATTTCCATGAAGTCTTTGAAGCTGTGCAATTTTTATACAGATCTAATTAATGCCATAAAGCACATCTTCAAATTTAAAGATTAACCCAAGGGCCGGCCCGGTGGCGCACTGGATAAGTGCACCGCTTGGGAAGCACGGCGGCGCTCCCGCCCGAGGGTTCGGATCCCACATACAGACCGGTTCCCGCTCACTGGCTGAGCGAGGCGCGGGAGCAACACCGAGGGTTGCGATCCCGTTGCCGGTCCCGGTCCGGTACGGGGGCGACACTGAGGGTTGCGATCCGTTGCTGGACACGGAAAAAGACAAAAAAAATAAAAATAAAAAAAAAAAATAAAGATTAACCCAAGGAGGAGGAAGAGGAAGAAAAGGGAGCCATACTAAAACATTAATATTTCCAGGCCGGCCCGTGGCTCACTCGGGAGAGTGCAGTGCTGATAACACCAAGGCCATGGGTTCAGATCCTATATAGGAATGGCCAGTTAGCTCACTGGCTGAGCATGGTGCTGATAACACCAAACCAAGGGTTAAGATTCCCTTACCGGTCATCTTTTTAAAAAAGCAAAAAACAAAACAAAAAAACCCCATAAAACATTAATATTCCCATCTGCAGCTGGCCAATTAGTTCAGATGGTTAGAGCGCAGCCTTATAACACCAAGCTCATGAATTCTGATCCTTGTATTAGCCAACCACCTATATAAATATATATGTATATTCCTGTCCTCAAGAGTTTAAAACCTAAGAAAGATAAGTGTCTTAGTCCATTTGTGCTGCTATAACAGAATAATTGAGACTGGGTAATTTATAAGAACAGAAATTTATTTTCCCACAGTTCTGGACTGGAAGTCTGAGATTGGTGTATCAGCATGGTCAGGTTCTGGTGAGGGCTGTCTTTTGGACTGCAGACTGCTGACTTCTTTTTGTGTCCTCACATGGTGGAAAGAGGGCAAAAGAGCTCACTGAGGTTACTTTTCATAAGGGCACTAATCCCATTCATGAGGGCTCCACCTTCATGACCTAATTACCTCCCCAAAGCATTACCTCCTAATACACTGGGAGATAGGATTTCAACATTTGAATTTGAGGAGGGACATAAATGTTCAGTTCATGAGAATATGTGTTGCACATTGTGCCATCAAACAGGAAAAAATAGCATCTTCTTTTAGTATTTAAATCCCCCAAACACCACTAGTTAGTATTATTGCAATAATCAGTTAAGTATTTTAAATCTAATATTTGTAAGTACATTCTGACCATCTCTATCCTGCACAGTGGCACAGCATCGGGTGCCAGAGTGATCACCAGTGGACTTCCCTGAGGGTGGCTGCACACAGGGAGCAGCAGTGGGAATTTGGGGAAATTGTGCCTACATTGCCTACCCTAGGAGATGGGACTTTTTTAAAAAAATTAAATTTGCTGATAGGAAACTATGCACCGATGAGGGGAAAGCCATTCATTTCCTTTCAGGCGTGCTGTTGGTAAATAGCCAAATAACTTGAAGACTTGCCTGGAATTACTAAGAATTATTAGTCATTAAGTAGAACTTAATTAAAGATGAACCCTTTGACCAGTGGGAACTACAGCTGCTCACGTCACCTCGCAAACTCCTCAAAAACATTTCATAGGTACTTCCTAACAGGTTCATTATTATTGTTTATTGTTTTTTAGAAGACAATGATACCTTGATTTTTGTGTTGCTAAAAACTCCTTTTCAGAAATACGTTAGCACTCATAGTTGATTTTTGAATGACCCTTAATAATTACTAAGCTTGGACAAAGCCCATCTGGCCATCAAAGAAAGGCATATCTAGCTACAAAGGGGCATCTTTTGGCATAGGGCCCTTTTCATGGTCATGACTACAAATATATTCTGCTCCCTAAATAAGGACAGGGCCTTAAAGAAATCTCAGTCCCTCTAAATGATGTAGGCAGATGACTTAGTAAAATCAAATGACAAAACAAAAACAAACCAAAAAAATCAAATGGCAGGGCTAAAAATAAGTATAATTTGCTCATTTTTTCCTGATCAGAATTGTAGTTATAAAAGAACTGCTGGAGATAAATGTTTGTGTTCTTTTGACCTGTGATAGAGGAAGCAATAAGAAAAGAGGAGAGATTCCTGAAATAAGAGGGAAGTGGCATTTGATGCTAGTTCTTGGAAGCAGAGCAAGTGTGCATCCAGCATAATACCTGCAGGTTCACTGATTTATCTGCAGATCTTTTGCAGATTTGCAGTAATAATACATACATACACATAGGGCACATCAGGTATATATTATTCATACATGTAGCATTTTAGGGATTGCTCATGTAACTTAATAACATATTTCTCTTTTAGCTATAATCCACAATAAACCAAATAACTTTATTTTTCCATTTTAGACTGAATGCAAGTAAGCTGGCAGATAGAAAGATGAGACACATTTTCACAAAAGGAACTTGATGTCACATAGATTCCACAAAGGAATCTGTGAATTATGGAGGGTTTCTCCCAGAAAGAACTGATTAAGGACAACATCAGTTTTACCCTCTTGTTTCCACGTTAGTTCTTCTATTAGTCCTGAAGCAACTTTGAAAAATGGAGGGAAGGCAAAGGAGATTATTACCAAACTTTGCAGAACCTATATTCTGGAAAAATATGCATTAATATCTTCAGGGTGCACGTGCATTCAGTTGTTGAACTGTTGACAGTGGTCATGGTAACTTTCCTTTCTCTCTCCCTCTCTCTTCTTTCTCCCAACAGTTTGTGGCTCACCCCAACTGTCAGCAGCAGCTTTTGACCATCTGGTACGAGAACCTCTCGGGCCTGCGGGAACAGACCGTAGCTATCAAGTGTCTGGTTGTGCTGGTCGTGGCCTTGGGCCTTCCATTCCTTGCCATCGGCTACTGGATCGCACCTTGCAGCAGGGTACTGGCTTTCTACACCCATTTCCTTTGTGGCTGGTGTACCGTTTCCCCTTGGGATGAAAGAAGAAAAAACTTTGTACTTAAGGCTTTTATCAGTTTTACCCTGAATGTTAATTGACTGAAGAACACAGATTCTGCTTTCTAATGACTGGTTCAATTCAAATAAGGGATGAAAAAGGATTTGGTGCTAGCGGGTAAATCACATTTACAGGCATAAAATAAGACTTTTAAGATCAAATCCCCATGGTAGACGGAGGGGGAAAAGCTGCTTAAATGAAGTAGCACTCGTTCAGATCCTATCGACAGCTTGGCAAATAGAACGTTGACTGGGCTGGCCTTTGGAAAGAAAGGGGAATAGATAGCCCTACTGCATGCAGTAGTACCAAGAAACAGTTACCTTGGGAACTAGGACTCACCCGAACCTGTCAGAAGGAATGTAACTCACCCGAACCTGTCAGAAGGAATGTAAGGCTGGGCGTATTCAGCACAGTTGAGAACAATGATATTATCCAAAATCTCGAAGAAAGTGCATGTCAGGTTTCCCTGGCCGTTTGTTCCTTTGGAATGTTCTAACAAATGTAGAATTGGGGTTTGGGGTTTTGGATATTTTAGATTGTTTATTTAGTTTTGCTTGGATCAGTTTGTTCACTACCTTTATTCTCCTCTCAACTTGCTAGTGTAGAGTAAATTTAGTTGTGCTTAAGAGATCCCCTAAACAAGATGTGGAAAGTCATGCTAACAGAATCTGTACTAGGTTAATAAAAGGCACTGTCAGAGGGAAGGAGCTGTTCTTAGATCCTTTAGTCCTGTTTTCATATTCTGAAATCTGGTTTTGTTTAGCTCAAGGCAGTTTCAGGCAAAATGAGTCAAGGCCACTTGCAAATGACCCTGGAAATCTGTCAACTCCAGTTCAGCAGTCTCACCCAGCAGTCTTACTCTGCAGCACCCTACACATGTGAGAATATTCATCCATCTTACTTCATTGTTGAGTTGCCCATGCAATTTAAAGCAGAAAATTTGTCTTTGTGATCAAGTTTGATAACTCAATTAAGTTATTTTGTTATGTATCATGAAACACTACTTTATGATTCTTCAAATACATAAACACTAAAGACTAAAAACTATAAATAATGTGAGAGAGCATGCAATAAAGAAAAGCATCATATCCCACCTAAATAATTTCCCTTTCTGAAGGAAATGAATTGGAAAGTTCAGGTTTACAAACGTTTGTCTCTTAGGGTAGCTTAATCACTTAAAACATTACATCTGGTTTGAAGTAGGCATCTTGGGGTGTACTCCTTTTTTCTCTTCCGTTGTCCAAGTGCAACTAACAGTGTGGTGAACTCTGCTGTGCAGAGAAGGGAAGTGTGGGAAATGAGCCATTTCTGGAGCTTCCAGATACGACCTATCTTATAGCAAAAAGGGAACATAACAAGAATTCTCACATATATCTCATTTTTAAGATAGGCATGCTACTTTCTTTTCATGTTATTTAAAGTTTTAAAATATCAATCTTTAGGAGAAATAACTTTGGCAACTCCAAAAAATTTCTATGTGCTACACATAAGCTACCCCAAAGTGCCCTCTTTGCAGCCCTCCGCAACAGCGGAGTAATGTGTAAATGCGTTGTTTATTTTTCTGTGTCTAATATGAAAAATGTGACATTTGTCTGTGTGCATTCATGTTCAGAAACACTTGACATCCTTTGGTCATTTGTAGATATCAAATTAAGATTCTGGACATACAAAAACATTTGTTTGAAGTTACAGTCTTAAAAGTGAACCTCGGTACTTTTTCAGGTCACAGACTGGGTTAAAAAGCAGGGTCTGAGTATGGAGAATGGAGACTTATTTGATAAATCTACCAAATGTACCTAATTCTTGGGCTGTGGAATCCTTTGGGACAGGAGGAATTGTTTTTCATTTCTGCTAGAACAGGGAACTTTTAAGGACATATCACGAGGGATTTTTACGGAGTCACCTTAAAATAATTATAAACTGAACTTTAGAAGTGCTTTTGTACTATTTACATGATTTTCCAAACTCAGAGATAAGTTAACCTACTTAGAGATTGTAATTATTGTGTCTCCCTCTTCTTGTTAAGGTATCAACAGATAAAATATTTATCTTAACTCTAATATTTTTCTCCCTTTTTTATATTATACAAGGTATAAATTGATTTGGGAATATTTAGGAATGAGAACTAAAATTTACTTTGTAGGAATAATTTTTTTTAATCTTCAAAGGGTTTTTAATTGTCTATATTAGTCTATAAACTCATCATAACATTTCAATTACAAAGCAATAAAAATTACATAGTACAAATTTGAACTTTCTCTTTCTAGACCTTAAAATCCTTGACTTCTCATAGTCTTTTATGTCAAAGTAAGAGCAAGAACCAGTATATGTTCTGCGATTTCGGAAGTGCATCTGTGAATGTACTGTATCCTAAGATAAATTGGACACTTAGAAACAGTGAATTTTGCAAACTCATTAAATTGTGTTTGGAGGAAGCATCCCCCTAAAAAGAGTAGTTTTCACAGTGTATAGCTCTTTAGAAACAAAAGTAGAATTTCAAAAGTATTCTCATTTCATCTTTTTTGTTTGTTTGTTTTACCCTGTATAGTAATTGTCATAAGTGGAAGCCAGATTTTCTAAAGCAAAATTTTTCTCTTTTTTTCATTTGTCTTATTACAGCTGGGGAAAATTCTGCGAAGCCCTTTTATGAAGTTTGTGGCTCATGCGGCTTCTTTCATCATCTTCCTGGGCCTGCTCGTGTTCAATGCCTCAGACAGGTTCGAAGGCATCACCACGCTGCCAAATATCACTGTGATTGACTATCCCAAGCAGATCTTCAGGGTAAAAACCACCCAGTTCACATGGACTGAAATGCTAATTATGGTCTGGGTTCTTGGTAAGCCTTTCATTTTAAGTACCCTAATTTCTTTTTTTCCTTTTTGTCTTTTTTTTACTGACCGGCAATGGGATCGCAACCCTTGGTGTCGCGCCCGCACCGCGCTCAGCCAGTGAGCGGGAACCGGTCTCCACATGGGATCCGAACCCTCGGTGGGAGCGCCGCCGCGCTCCCAAGTGGCGCACTCTCCAGTGCGCTACCGGGCCGGCCCTAAGTACCCTAATTTCTACCAGAAAATAATCATATAAATGATTGTGATTTTCTATTAAAATATATTATTATACCTTGTATGGTGACAGTCTCATCATTGTAAGATAAGCTAACTAGCAAAATAATTGAATAATTTGGTATCCAGGTAATGCTAAAAGGTATCCCTTAAAACTAAATAAATTTTTTTTATGAGGAATATGAGCCCTGTTACAAACATACCATGTTTCAGAAATCTAACTTCAATTATTGAACAAAATGTAAGTTCTTAAATATGATTCACTGTGATGGTCAGTTATTTAATTGAAATATTTGTGTAATAACATGAGGAGCTATTAACTGATGACTAAAGAATTTTTATATAGCTTTAGTTTCAGAGACTTAATAGTTTTCATTTTCAGATTGTTACTTCCTCTCACAATAATCCATTCTGAATAGCTGTGTTAAAGTAAAAATTTTAAGTAATGTGAGAAAAGAAATTTACATTGTTCTGTCCTAATAAGTGGAGATTGGAACCCATATTGATTACTAACCCAGTCGATTTTGTATATTCTATTTCATCCAGTGTCTTTCTTGGTATCTTCTCATTTCCTGAATTAATGGGTTAGTTCTCCCCTCATTCACTCCTGTGGCCTCAACCTGCGTCAAGTAATTATTTTATTTTGGACTATTACATTTCTTTTAAAAATTCTACAATATTTTCTCTTTACATAAGGCAATTAGTTAAATTGGAATATTTTGTCTTATCCCAGAATGGCATTTTCTGCTTCCAGTTTCTTCATAATGTCCTAGTACCTCCTGTTTAGGGGTTCCATCTTTTTCAAATGATGTTCCTCATCTTTCCAGCATGAAGTGGAAATGAGGAGAGAGAGTAGGGAGATGATGTAAGTTTCCTGGATGATTGGGAAACTGTTCTTCTTGTTTAAGTCTACAGTAAGTTTCTCATATAGGGACTTATTTCTCCAGTAATCACTATAGTTTCATAATTAATCATTGTGATTTTATAAGGATGCATTTTCCCCTCTTCAAAAGTCTCATGGGTCAAAATTATCTGACTTGAAGAGCCTTCCTTGCAATTTTCTTCCCTCCTCCCTGCCTGTGCCACACACACACCCCCTGTAGTGAAAATTCTGGTGCTGCATGTAGAATGTGTTGCTCCAAATTCTAACTTGGTGGGAATTCTCATTCCCTTAGTGGAAGTGTCTTCCTCCATTTAACTCTGCCCTGGTGTCTGTACAGCCAGTAGGTGCTTTGTGATTTGTAGTATGGTGCTTTACATATGGGGCATTTTATAGAGGTGGCCTGATGATGGACAAAATAATGGCTTCTCAATCTAAGCTGTAAAATCTAATCTGTAGCCTCCATATCTGTTGTGACAGGAATGATGTGGTCTGAGTGTAAGGAGCTCTGGCTGGAAGGACCCAGAGAATACATTTTGCAGTTGTGGAATGTGCTCGATTTCGGGATGCTCTCTATCTTCATTGCTGCTTTCACAGCCAGATTCCTAGCTTTCCTTCAGGCGACAAAAGCACAACAGTATGTGGACAGTTATGTCCAAGAGAGCGACCTCAGTGAAGTTACACTCCCACCAGAGATACAGTATTTCACTTATGGTAAGTTGTGAGCTGCAGGGTCCTCTGATGTTTAGTATGAGAGGTGTGTTGAATGTTTATGGACAGTGGAGAGAGTGTGAGCTTTGGAGCTTTACAAAACTGGGTTCATATCAAGACTCTCCCTTGCTGTATGACCTTGTTCAGGTTAATTTGCTTCTCTGTGCCTCAGTTTTCATATCTATAAGAAGAAAATGTTGCCAGGTGTGAGAAAATTACCATTATAACTAACAGCATAATTACTCTTGGGTCAGGATACCATCTGAATCAGGAGGAAAAATAGCTTGATAAACTGCTTACTTTGGAAGGTGAGTTCCTGAGAGCATGGGTTGGAGGAGATAAGACAATAAAATGTGTTAAGCTGCTCTGCAGGCAAAGTGAACAAAAGTTCAGCAGAGGTGGAAGTAGACACTAAAGTGACCATGAGAATGTAAGCTCTAGAGAACTGGCAGAAATATTGGGGAGGAGGTTGTGCTTTTCACATGGCTTAGAATGGGGTTCATGCCAAACTTCTCCATATCATGAAGAGCAGGGAGATCACAGCTGATGTACTGATTCTTTCCTTTCCTGGCTCAAACCAATGTTAAGTAATGTTAGCCTCCTTTCCTTTGAAGCCAAATGGAGGTGCCTCAATTAGCAAACTTTCATATAGTGTAAAATCTTAAATCTGGAAAAGACTTCAGAAATTATCGCCTAACCCTTATTTTACAGGTGAGGAAACTCAGGCACAGAGTTCAAATGTGTTCTGGTTGTGAAGAGTAACTCTTTCATAAGTATGGTTAGGGCTTACATTGTGAGTACAAGCAGCATGTTAACATTACTGAAGAAGGTTGGGTTCCTGCTCCAAAATATAAGATGTAAATTTCACACATTGTGAAATTCAAACACATTATCACTTACTGTCAGCAAGCAAAGATTTTTATATACCAAGGAGACCCTTTCAAATGAGCAAATGATCACCATTTGTAATCAAAGAATTAACTTATGGGCTGGCCAGTTAGCTTAGTTGGTTAAAGCATGATGTTGATAATACCAAGGTCCAGGGTTTGATCCCTATTACTGGCCAACAACACACACACAAAAAAACCCCCAAAAAACTAGAATTAACTTAGTTTGGATTTGTGTGATATTTATCTCAAGTATTTCCATAACCTATTTAATTTAAATATATTCATGCATATTGAATGACTGTTGTCTAGTGGGGAATTTGTGAATTCAGGCTTCCCTACTTCCTACTCATGTCTTTGATAAGTTTTTAACCTTTCTAAGTCTTGGTTATTGAGTCCATAGGGTCATTGAGTCAATAGGGTCATTAAAAGCAGTGTCTGACACGTTTTAAACATTCAGTAAATGTTCATTTTTTGTTGTTGCAAATGTCTACAATGCATCCATTCTTTTTAGAGTGACCCAGTTTGCCCAAAGTAACCACATGGTGTTTTACTGACCTGCTAGGGTAATGGGTCTGCAGTAAACGTAACAAGTGACCTTGAAAAGGTTAAGGGTTCTCACTCAGAATCTGTATTCACAATTTTTACACTTCAGTGGCATTTTACTTTTTTCTAGGAATAAGTCATATTGCTCAGATATCACATCATCAGCACCACTGTGATTGAGTGACATTCTCACTCCTTGCAATATGACATTTTACTTGCATAAACTGTTAGATGAATTAATTTCCCCACAAAACATAGAGAAGAAATTTCATTTCAGCTGTGTCTGTAGGATGACAAAATAACTGGTCAATAAATCTAATAACTGAGCACACAAGTCAGTCAAGTCAGTTGGTTTTGTCATCCTGAGTATGGTCTGTTTCTAATGAAGTATTTTAACCTTTCTTCATCTTTCGTATTTTATTCTGTTTCTGCTCAATGTGAAGTCAGTTTAGTTTCTTTATAATAGTGTTTCCTCCATTGAAAGTAATGTAGAATTGATGTTTCTGGTTTAACATGAAAAAGAGTGCCTCGACAATTAATTAAATCTAGAGTAGTTTCAACTGAGATAACCACCTACCTGCAAGATAGATCCTATTTAAGGTATTTACTTTGCATAGCTGGGAATGAATAGAAAGCCCCGTCTTTAATTTCTTTCTTTCTTTTTTCTAGCTAGAGATAAATGGCTCCCTTCTGACCCTCAGATCATATCTGAAGGCCTTTATGCCATAGCTGTTGTGCTCAGCTTCTCTCGGATCGCGTATATCCTCCCTGCAAATGAGAGCTTTGGCCCCTTACAGATCTCTCTTGGAAGGACTGTGAAGGACATATTCAAGTTCATGGTCCTCTTTATCATGGTGTTTCTTGCCTTTATGATTGGCATGTTCATACTTTATTCTTACTATCTTGGGGCTAAAGTAAATGCTGCTTTTACCACGTAAGTAAAACATCTTATTAAAAAGGTCTAACGAAGAGAAATTCTAAGAAGTCTAGATGAGCAAAGAAAAATTTCAGTGATTGTAACAAAGATGCTTTAAAAAACAGAAAAAGTACATTAAAAAGTTAGTGCTTGTATGTTACTATATTGCTGTGATGAGCATTTGACCATAGAATGCACCAGAATTTGGAAAAATTCTAGACAAAACTGGCTATTTTAAGAGAATGGGATAGATAACAAATTTCTAATACTGGATATCTCTTACATTATGAATAACATTAAATTTAGTTTCATCATTTTGTAGCCAGTACTACTCTTCCAAAAGAGAAGCATTAGCTTTTATTTTAATGTACTAATTAATCAGTATAGGGAGCTGAGTAAGAGGAAATTATAGCTAAATGTTTTACAATCTGCTATAATGGTAATACTACTTCCTTCCTTCCTTCCTTTGGTCCAAAGGTTTCTGCACTGGAGACTTACCTCCTCCATGAAGTCTTCCTTGATTGAGCTTCCTTAGTCATTGTCCCTTTAAGGTCCCTCAGTGTATTAGTCAGTTTTCTGTTACTGATAACAGAATACCTGAAACTGGGTAACGTATAAAGAAAAGAGTTTTATTTCTTACAGTTTGGGAGACTAGAAAGTCCAAGGTCCAGGGGGTGCAACTTGCGAGGGCCTTTTTCTTGGTGGAGTCCCGCGGCAACTCAGGGAATCACATGGCAAGAGGCCGAGCAAGAGCACTCTAATGTGCTCACTTGCTCTCTTTATAAAGCCCCCAGTCTACTTCCTGACAACTCATTAACACATTAATTTATGAGGGCCTAGTCCTCATGATTCAGTTGCCTCTTAAAGGTCCCATCTTTCAAATACCACATTAGGGATTATGTTCCAACATGAGCTTCGGGGGACATTCAAACCATAGCACTCAACGTGGAGACACCCAAATTGTGAGATCGGTTCTCACCCATTGGCGTTTGGTTGTCATAGAGGTGGGGCCTCCCCTCTTTATTGTAGTCCTTATTGTTCCCTATAATGCCACAGCTGGAAACAAACTACTCATTCAGTAAATTCACCGTGGACTAAAATAGACTATCAAGCCCTTGCAGACATCTAAATTGTTCTGAAATGATTTTTTAAATAGCTGTTGTAGGGTAGGCCATAGAGATGAAAGAAATTCACTTTCTTATAATGAAGAAAAAAATCTGTTTCAACCCAATGGGAAAAGTACAGAGATCCTGCATACAGTGCTACCTTTGCCCCCTTCCTCCTTTTACCTTTATGATAACTCATTTTATACATCACATTTTCCTCATTGTTTTGTTTGGGGACATGGCAATGTGAAGTAGTAGAAAAGACAAAGGATGGAAAATCAGGCAGACGTGGATTTGAATGCAATCCCTGCTATTTTCTAGCTGTGGTCTTTAGTTAAGTTACTGAACATTTCTCAGTGTCAGTTTCCTTATTTTTAAAATAAGCACAACAAAGCTTAAAGTCATTGTGAAGATTATGTAAGGTGAGTTATATTAAGCCTCTTGCCCACAGTAGGAGCCCAGAACTGCCAGCATCCTTTCGTTCTTTACTGTCTCTCTCCCCACACATACACTCCATATAGATTTGAAGAGAAGTTAGAGGTGTGAAGGTTTGCAAAGGAGCAAGAATAAGGAGCGGGAGAATTTTGTGATATGGATAAATTAATGGTATGAATAAAGAGGTTACAGTTTTTCGTAGTCTCTTATCAGCATTTACACAATAACATCACAGAATCAAATGTTTTATAATAGAGTAACTCTATAGGAATAAAAACCTTGCTATTCAACCCTCTGTCCCCAGGGTGTAGCAAAATTTATAGAACATATTAGGTGCTCCATCAATATTTGTTGAATGAATAAATAAGTTAGTACTTAAACCTAAAAATCTATAGAATTCATTGTTATTTAGAATTTTTTACAACAAATAAAAAAAAGTACTGTTTCCATAAATCTTTCTCTGGAAAAAGGACTTATTTTTGAACCCTTCTTTATAATGGAATTTTACATGTGTAACTGTTTAATGTAAATTACTTATTCAATTCACAGATCAGTGATTACAACTTGGTTATATGACAAAACCAGCCAAATATGTGTTGCCAACGGTCATTTAAGGGACAAAAGTAGGCAGTTGGTCTGGTGGGGACTAAGTGCTAATTGTCGTGACGGAAGATCAGGAAGTAGGTTATATAAATGAAGGGAAAAGAACAGGAATTTTTTATTCTTTTATTCTCTTCGTTTTCAGCTGAGTGTTATTTGTAGGTAGGTAATATATTCTCATACAAAAATGCAAATAGAAAGGAGTCTGCGGTGAAAAGCCTGTCCCCCTTCCCACCCTTGGTCCCCAGTCTTTTTTATTCTTCCTAGTTCCCAGAGGCAAGATACTTTCAGAGATATTTTTTGCATAAAGAAGAAAATAAGTACTTCCATACCCCTCTTTTTTATTCAAATGATAGAGTATTTCACACTTGCTGCATCTTACTTTTTCATGTATATCTCAAGTATCATTTTATATAAATACATGAAGATAGATGTCTCATTTTTCCCTAATGGCCGCAAGTGATGCTGCAAAGAACATGTTAGTACATACTTTTTTTCTGAAGTGGGTATGTAATTTTAATCCCAACCTACTCCAGAACGCCTGATTTAAATTTCTAAACCACCTATAAAGTCAAACCCCAAACTTCCATCCTTCTAGGAGTAAGGAAAGGGTATTATGACATGACCACAGCTTTTTCCTGCTGAGTTCAGAGAATTTTCACTTGATGACAACTTCAGAAAACCTACGCATCGGTACCATTTAATCACCAGTTCCTGAAAACCTGGGAGAATAATTTCTATTAAATATCATAACAAAATAATTCCACTCTTGGAGTTTATTATGATGGCATTTGATGATGGCATTTTACATCTGTACAGACCCTAGTTGTTTTTACTTTTGGCTTTTTAACACTGGAAAGTGTTAATTTACTTACTGTGCACCTTATTTTTTCAACAGTGTAGAAGAGAGCTTCAAGACTTTATTTTGGTCAATATTTGGATTGTCTGAAGTGACTTCTGTTGTGCTCAAATATGATCACAAATTCATCGAAAATATTGGATACGTTCTTTATGGAATATACAATGTAACTATGGTGGTCGTTTTACTCAACATGCTAATTGCTATGATTAATAGCTCATATCAAGAAATTGAGGTAAATCTGTTTTCTGTCCATGGTGTCTGTCTTTGCCTTCTCATTCTGACAGCTTGCTATGTCTGCTTCTGTGTCCTGTGGTGGAGCTCCAACTCTTGGAACAAAGAGGCTTTTCTCCAAGCACAGAAAGTCTGGGCCTTTTCCTTGTTTTCCACCTCGATATGTAGTCACACACCTTCCAGTGTTTTCTAGGAGCACAGCAGGGATCCCCATGAGTTTACTACGACTCTGCCTTCTCTCAGGGTATATTTCAGAAGTTTTGTGAGTAGGGGATAGAAGTATTGGCCATAGGGAAATTATTCTTGCCTAGGTTAGCTAGCCAACCATTCTTCTTGGTAGAATATTAGATGCCTGGCAAACATTGATGATGTTCCTTATCCATTCAGAATTTTTCGTAGTCTAGAGATCACTTTACTTTTGGTTTTGGATTGGGCTTGCTTTGGTACCTTTCTTCATCATTCGTATATATGTTTTCTTCTATCCTCCAGTATCTTTTTAGTGCTCTATTTGTTAACTCCCTTGAACTCTCTATGTGTGTTTTAAGAACTCTAATTTAGTGTTCTCGAAGCAGAAGTTAGGGTCTTCAAAAATCAAAACTCTGGTACATTGAACACCTCCTGAGGTGTGGTACCAGCTGTCTAGGCTATGTGCAGAGTGAGCCAGCCTCCTCCATGTATGGAACCTTCCCTTCATTTATTAGTTGGAATGGATATGACCATCACCAGGGGCAGCACTGAAGACAGAAGGAAATGTAAGACAGGTCTAGGCTACTAAGGGACTTACGTGACATTTGAGGACATGTGGCAGACACATAAACTCCAAAAAGCAATTCATCTGAGTACCATTTTTTTCCTTTGCCCTTGGAGTATCATACGCTGTGTCTACAACCTGGCATGGATGGGTCTAGGTGAGGAGAGAGGGTGGGTAGAGAATGGGGAATTATTGTTGAACATGCAGAATTGACAAGGGGTTGGGGATCGAGGGAGGAACTAATCTTTTCATCCTTCCTTCACCCTGAATTTTTCTTGTCTTTTTGCTTTGTTTTGAATGGGGGACAGGAAATTCTGGTGAAATTTTAATAGGTACAGACAGAAGTATATGGAAGAGAAAAATTTAAAAATGAGTGTCATAAAAGTGATAATCAGAATATTATGTAGGCCTCTAGAGATACTATGCAGATAAATGGGTTTAAGTCCCTTATCTATTTCAAAAACATAATCTAAATTATGTAAACATAATCTAATTATGTAAGAACCTAGGCATCAGTTACTAAAATATTTAGTTTTTAAAATTAGTTATTTCTTTTCTCTTTTTGTGACACAGGATGACAGTGATGTAGAATGGAAGTTTGCTCGTTCAAAACTTTGGTTATCTTATTTTGATGATGGAAAAACATTACCTCCACCCTTCAGTCTAGTTCCTAGTCCAAAATCATTTGTTTATTTCATCATGTGGATCATTAACTTTTCCAAATGCAGAAGAAGAAGGCTTCAGAAGGATATAGAAATGGGAATGGGTAACTCAAAGTCCAGGGTAGGTATCGAAAACTCACCAAGACTTTAAAATGAATGTCTTTTTCTCCTTGTCTTTTGATGTTTGTTCAGTGATTTTTATGTGTGAACTTAGAAGATGTTGAAAGTAACTGTCCATCCCATAGTCTTCCATAGACTAATGCTTAGTATCTTCATAATGTTTCAAGAAGTCACTTAGTCTATGCCCTGCTTTTGATCAGAACCTCAAGTAAACTACCAGATCAAAAGCAAATAAAATATTTTAACTCATTAATAAAAAACAGAAACATTATTGTTAGAAAACACCTTTTGTGTGTTTCATGCTTCTCAACTGTTATTCTGAAATTAAATAGTTTTAACCTTAAATTAACACCACCATATTGTTCTTTTTTTGTAGAAACACTTTATTGGGCTAAGTAATCTTTTTTCCTTAAGTATTGTAGAATAGATACAGGCTTCAAATAACCATAAATACCCCTTTTACAAATAAGCAAGAATGGTTTTCCATTGAGCTGTCTCAGTTGAGTCATACTTTAATGCTAACAGAGAAGATAAGTTTCACGATGTCACCTTATTATCACGAACTTAATTTCAGAGGTGGAATTGGTATAGAAGACAGAGGATATGGGCAAACCTTAAATAATAGGGAACAAGGAAGATGGGAGCAAGTGTGTGGGGTTAAAATATAATTTTTGCCTACAATTGTGAAAATGGTCTGTAGCTATACTACCCTAGAAACCCACAAGATGTCAATGTTATTTCCGTAAAGTATAGGCCGTCTTGAGCAGAGGTAGATTCTTTTCTCAATTGAAGCTGGGAAAAAGACAGGATTAGTGCAATTTAATTTCTTGCTTTTTAAGATAGATGTGAGTTTCCAACATTTGCAATACCTTAGAATTTTATTCTTTAAGAAAGTGGCCTTTGAAATTTTTTTGTTTGTTTGACCTGGAGGTGGGCTTTTAAGGTTATTAGGTTACAAAGCAGTGGTTGGCTGTGATATCCCATGTATGTATACAGTGAGAAGCAGTGTAATGCATGGAAGAGAGCCTCGGGCTTAGTCCTGGATTTGAATTCTGGCACTTAAGACTTATGAGAAAGTAACATGGAGAATAACTTCTCCACTCTGAGCCTTAATTGTCTCATATGAAAGAGAAAAATCTTTGTAGGGTTATTGTTAGGATTATATGAAATGTACAAAATTCTAGCCTCAACAAATATCAGTGCCCTTCCTCATTCACAGTTTACAAAGTGCTTTGCTGTACATTTGAACCTCATGCAACGCTCTGAGGTAGGTATTATCATTATTCCCATTTTATAGATAAGACCACTGAAGCTATTCTGATAACTCATTTATGCAAACTTGAATGAGCTAGCCAGTGTGGAGTAGGAGAGGAATTCAAGTTTTCTAGTATCAGATGCCTGGCTCTACTGCACCTGGCTGCCTCTTATGACTGCTCCTCCTCTTCCCCATCAGCTGTACCTGCAGCTGTGGGGTAGCTGGTCTCATAAAGGGGCCAGTCTCTGTCATCCTGGGCAGCTCCTTCTATTGCTGAATTGACTTTGTTTTGAAGGAGCTTTGTTCTTCTGGGGATTTATTAACTGAGGCTTTATTATTAAAAAGAAAGTCTCTCAAGTGTGGGAGCTAATAGTTCTCATATTTCACAGAACACACCTTGAAGTTTTCTTTCTGTAGGCAACAGGTTTCACTGACTTTATTCCTGGTATTGTCATAAAGTAGATAGAGAGATACTAAAATCAGGTTGAGAAGAGCACTTTCAAGTGGCTTGTGGCTTTGTAGACCCCTCTAAAGAAAATGCAGTTTGCTGGCAGGAATGTTAGGGAGCATTCCACTTAGGGTGTCCATTTAGACTGTTTCATATAGGGTGTCCTCTCCTGCCTGTATTGATCACCATTGATAGGAAAGAATAGCTTTTTCTCAGAGAGGATGCTGGAAATAGGGGAAAGTCGAGCACTGATCTCTCATGAGGCATGCTCCTTGGCTTCCCAGTCCTTCCATATCTGGTTTAAAACTGCCATTTTGATTCTGTTTTTAATATTGTACATAGGGCTGTTTAAATCTCTTTAATCTTGTTCATATTCATGGTTACCCTCCATATATAGAATTTAGTAAAATCTGGAGAAATTATATTTTTCTGTTTTTCTTTTTTAGAAGAGAGGAAAGAGCTTCAAGAATTTTTCCTGCTGGCTGGCCGGTTAGCTCAGTTGGTTAGAGTGTGGTGCTGATAACACCAAGGTCCAGGGGTCGATTCCTGTACCGGCCAGCCACCAAAAAAATAATAATAATAAAAAAAGAGAAATCTTTCCTGCTAACCAATTCAGCTAATCTTAGTCAATAGTCAGGTACTGACCTCCAGTGGCAAACAGGAGAATTTACTTTGTTTTCTTCTGGCACAATTATAAGAGAATGGAGTTAGGAGAGTGCTTGTTTGTCAGTGCCACTTCCTTTTTCCCTAGCACCCCACACCTTCTTCAGTTATAATGGTGGGCAGTCAGGTGGTGGGGGCCCTGCCTTTGAATCACACTTGGTGGGTGGCCGCTTGCCCATGTGCAGGAAGAGGAGACAGTACCTGTGTGCTCCTCTTGCTTTCTGTTGCTGCCCACTCGAAAGCTAAGCCTTAAAAAGAGAGAAAAGAAAAGAAAACCAAAATTCTTTAGCCAAATGCTCTCCAAAGTTGTGAACCTGGCTTAGTACAAGGCCAAGATGCTCAGAGAGATGTATTATTTTGACTAATATTTTAGAGCTACAAAGTACCACCTGGTACCATCTGAACCTGTAACATGTTTCTGTTCAAGTCTAGGAGAGGAACTTAGGTTCAGGAGCAGGCTGAACTGCCTGTATGGAACTTTGCTTTCTAAATAAATGCCATAAGCACATTCTGATGAAGTATACAAGGTTCCCAGGAAAAATTATGTTTGGCATGAGCCAACTTCTTAAAATATGTTTTCAATTAAACAGTTCTATTACAGGACCTCTTGCCAACATTTTGTTAAATGTGAGTATGTTGCTCACATTAATTTCTACCTTTGGAAATATATTAAGTCACTTATAAAACTCAGCTTCCACAAAAATGGTCCTCAGGAATGTTGACTCCAGAAATGTTATCAAGGAGAATAAAGTGGATTATATTTTTTATTCCAAATGAATGTATTCTAATTTACTAGGTTAATTGTATTTTTTCCTAGTTAAACCTCTTCACTCAATCTAACTCAAGAGTTTTTGAATCACACAGTTTTAACAGCATTCTCAATCAGCCAACACGTTATCAGGTAAGCATTCATCAGACATACTTCTTTATCTGTATGTGATCCCATATATGTCTTTGTGGTGGGGTGTGGATGTGCATAGTGAGTAGAATTATATTCTTCAGATATACTATCAAGATAGTACAGAAGAGAAAAAATGAGAAAATGATATGTTAATTGGTGGGGACTTTAGAAGAGTTCCTTAAGAAGTATTGAAAGCAGTGTTGCTACAATTTCCAAAGAGCACTTACGTATACCTTGAACTGGAGAAAGCAGTGGGAGATATGGCATATTAGAATAAATAATGCTGTCACAGTATGGAAACCTGATACATTTCTCCAGGTTTTTCTTTCAGGTGATCTATTTTCCAAATGGATTGTTAGGCTATACTGTTTCATCAGTATTACTTTAAAATATCTTTTGCATTTTGATATTGGACATCACATTTAAACACTATTCTCCAACTCAGAAGAGGTTAAAGTCCTTTATTTTTCAACTGGCTGATAGTTATGATCATCAGATCCTTAGATTTTTGGTGTGTGTAAGGTCAAGGAATTTATAATGTATTGGTGATATCAATTATTGGGTGTAGTCCTCTTCATACAGTTTTCTTGGAGGCAGGAAATTCTGCAAAATTGTTTGGCACACTGATTGTCAGTCTTACTTTTAGTGGTTACATTATATTCCACTATATAGTTGGACTTTAATCAATATTCTATTGATGGAAATAGAGGATTTTGCCAATATTTAGCTATTACAAGCAAATATGGCAGTAAGTAACCTTGTATACCTGATACTTCAAACATGCAAATATAAGTATATGTGCATTTAAATCTTTTAGCTGTTATCAAAATGATTTCTATGGAACTTGTATCAATTTATGTTCTTACAGTAAGTGTATGAGTTCCCATTTTCTCCATAGTTTACCAACAGTGTGTCACCAAAGGTTTTTATCTTAACCAGATAAGTGAAAATGGTTTTACTTTGCGTTTCTTTATCATAATAAAATTGACCTTTTATGTTCAATATTCTGTATATTTATGACTCAATATATAGTTGCTTTTCTTTATGGGCTTTTTGTTATCAGTTAGGAAGAATTCTTTATATTTTAAGAACATCAGCCTTTGTCTGTAATATGAGTTGAGAATTTTTTTTCACAGTTTGTTGTGTGTCTTTTTAATACTTAATGGGTGTTTTTTCCCATCCAGAGCTTTTTTATTTTTGTGTAGTCAACTTTACAAATCTTTTATGGATTCAGGTTTTGTGTACTATTTGGAAATATCTTCCCCCATATGAGATTACTCAATAATTTTTTTTATCCATATTTCTTTAGTACTTTCACTTTTTATATGAGAGCATTTGATCTATAAAGAATATATTTTAGTGCAATATGTGGGATGGGGATCCAAACTTTTTTTTCCAGATTACACAGCTAGGTATGTTAAATAATTTATCTTTTCTATTTATTAGAAATACCACCTTTAGGGCCGGCCCGGTGGCGCACTCGGTAGAGTGCAGCGCTTGGGAGCGCGGTGGCGCTCCTGCCGAGGGTTTGGATCCCATATAGAGACCGGTCCGCTCACTGGTTGAGCGCGGTATGGGCGCGACACTGAGGGTTGCGATCCCGTTACCGGTCATGAAAAAAGACAAAAAAAGGAAAAAAAAAAAAAGAAATACCACCTTTATCATTATTAAATTCCTATATCTATTTAGATTTAGTTCATGGATTTCCTTCTGTTCCATTGATCTGTCTATTCATGCTATAGAACAATATTATTTTAATTATTGTAGTTTAAAACAAAATCAAAGAAACAAAATGCACACACACACACGCACACACACGCACATGCACGCACACACACACGCACACATGCACGTCCTTACTACAGGTCTCTTATTTTACAGAATTTTACTAGCTGTTCTTTCTTCTTTCATTTTCTATTTGAATTTTAGAATCAGCTTGTCTAGTTTACAAAATATCCTTTTTGATCACTTCTAGCCTTTTGGCTAAGATCAAGGATTAAGTGTACAAAATATCCTTTCGGTATTTTTATTGTGATCATGTTAACTTAAGGAAAATTGGTATCTTTATGATGTTCTGTTTTTCTTTTCAATAACATGATAATTTTCCATTTGTTCAGGTCTTCTTTTGTGTACTCAGTGTCATTTTAGTCTTTATACTGTTCATATTTACTAGGATTAATTTACACAACTTACACAAAACCATCAAATACCAGTCACTGAGTGGTTAAAAGAAAGTGGCTAAAAGAATATAGAAATGTATTTCTACTTCATGTTCGAGAAGTCAGGAGCTCCTGGTATGGTACCTAACAATGTCAGAGACCCAGGCCTTTTCTATCATATTACTATGTTATGAATGGCTTTCAGTTTAACATTATCTCACGGTTCAAGAAAGCTGCTGGAGCTCTGGCTGTTATGTCTGCATTCCAAAATACAGTTAGAAATGATAGGGAAGAAAGGTCGTTCCTAAAAGGAACTTCTGTAAAGTTGTACAAACTGACTATCTGCAATGGAGGCTGGCAAATAAAGTCCTAATTTCAAGTGGTTATGTGCTAAGCTAAAAAACTGGGAAAGGGAATTGGCAGGCTCTGCTGAAGTAGATTATGTTATTTGTCTTGGTGCTTATCTTTACGCTTTTAAACATACTTACTTCTTTGTTAATTGATTTATGTTTCAACTTCTTATTTTATGTTTCAACTTTGACACACCATATCTGAACTATGAAAAAATCAACATGCTTATTTTATCTTTCACCATTTTCCCCCTTTCCCTCCCAGTTCTTGCTGGGTAAATCATTAGAACTGTAGGGGAGAGGGAAAAATCCTTTACTCTCTTAGTTCAGTACTGGGGCCTGTGAACTAAACTGACAAAAGACAGATTAACAGGAGAAATAGTTTATTTACACAGGTAATGCACATCCGTGTGAGAGAACTTAATGATGAGTAACTCAGATGGGATGATTGGAATTTATATATTGTCTTAACAAAGTGCAATAAATTTGTGAAGAAGTGACAAGACAAAGGAAAGGAGCGTGGGTTCCTAGGGATAATAAATAGATGGGAGAAACTAACGGAAGATGAGGGTTATTTGAGTAAGGTTTGTTTGTACAGACACATCTTGGTGCCAACTTTCTGTTCCCAGGGATAATGATTTCTTTTCCTTCTCCTGGAATGGGAGAGAGGAGAGGCAAGACCTCCACAAAGGGAATATGTCCCGCTTTTAGGAAGAGAGAAGAGAGCAGAGAGCTCTTTCTGTGTTTGCTACTTCTTCCTTGCCTTCGGCTCAGAATAATCCTTATGTGAAAGCAGCATATTTTGATGAGTGACTTATTCTGATCCCTTTCACTACCTTGTCAGGATTATAGCACAAGTTTGCTTTAGTTGCAGTCCTACAGTTATACAGAATCAATACTCAGAATCAGTCTTTTTGCCATAATTTTCCATTAATCTCTTTTTCAGCTTAAGTTCATCATCTCATAGTTTCTTCAAGAAGAGCTTATAGGTACTATGTTACTGAGTTATTTTATGTTCTAAACTAGCTTCTGTTTTTTACATATTTATATCGACTAGGTGATACTTTTTAAAAAAAAAATATGTATTTGTAGACATTGCTTCACCGACTCCTAGAATGGAATGTTGATTTGGAAGAGTTTGAGGCCAGCCTAATAGTTTGCCTCGTATAGTTGACCTGAGGTTTGGTTTTGAATGTATCAGATTTTCTTTTTTTTTTTTTTTCCTTTTTGTCTTTTTTACTGACCGGTAATGGGATCGCAACCCTCGGTGTCGCGCCTGCACCACACTCAGCCAGTGAGCGGGAACGGTCTCCACATGGGATCCGAACCCTCGTCAGAGTGCCACCGCGCTCCCAAGCGGCGCACTCTCCAGTGCACCACCGGGCCGGCCCCAGATTTCTTAAATCCAGTAACTTGCTATTGATTGTTCTGTAGGTGGATATAAGATGGATTTTTCCTAGTACACACCATGGTCTTTCAGTCGGTCTTCCTTTATTTCTGAATAATTTCCTTGAAGTTTATCTTAAAATTGCCTGCTGAATTTTCTTTAGCTATCTTCTATAGCTACCACTTTTTTCTCTTTTTTGAATTTTTGTTTATTTCTACATTTGGCTCCTTTTTTCTCATGCTGTATTTTATTCCTGTCTATCCTCATTTGTGCTGTTTCTAATTTACTCTTCATTTCTGTGATAATTTTTTCCTTCCTTTTCTTGAGGTTTGCCAGCTTATATATCATTTCCTTCTTTTGGCTCACCATATTTCCCTTGACCTCTTTGTACTTTTATTTCAAAGACGTGATTGCTTCAAATTTTTTAAAAATGGCATTATCTTTAAATAATGGTATCCAATGTTTTTATCTGTTTTTTAAAAAACGTTTTTCTGATGAGTATGCTTTATTTGATATTTGTTTTATCCTTTTTTTTTGGTACTATCTTAATATAGATCCTGTGTATATTGCTTATTGATTATCCTTCAGTTTTGAAATGAAGTAACGTTCTTCTTGGTTTGAGGATGCTAGAGCCACATTCCAGGCTAATAGGAATTTTTAAGCACAGGATTGTGTATGTGAGTTCATTTATTTTTCATTTTTCCTTGTGAATGAATAGCACTGCAGGGCTATTCACAAGGCAGACTCTCCCTCCCACTTCACTGACAGAGTACTACTGGAAAATATGGCTTTTCTTTATGTTTTCTCCTTCAATCCTGCATTCCAAGCTTGTGTACGCTTTGAACCAAACAGGTAAGGGAAGTTTCCAGCCATGAATATCTTCCCTTGTCATTTTCCTACACACTGTCATTTGATCTTCTCATATAACCTTTCTAAAAAAGGGTTAATGATGCCTCTAACTTTCATATAGAAGGAGTTTGTGTTTTTGTCTCTTATTCTCCTTTTTGCTTTTGAGTGATTTAGAAGAAGTGTAGACATTTCTAACTTTACTGTCAAATTCAACCTTCTTATTGGCTGAAAGTTGTTATGCTTTTGTATGAGATG